CCCAGCCACATCCGACGAGCGTCAGAGCCGGTGTAGTAGGATTCAATAATAAACTGTAATCCATGGCTTCTGGTTGGGATATGTACGTACGGTCACTGTGGGGACGACGTCAATGATGTACTTATTGATGAAGCCGGTGACCGAGGTGGTATACTCCTCAATGCCATTGGATGAATCCCGGAACATATTCCAGTCTGTGCTAGCAAAACAGTCCTGTAGCGTAGCATCTGCGTCATCTGACCACTTCCGTATTGAGCGAGTCACTGGTACTACCTGTTTTAGTTTATGCTTGTAAGCAGGAATCAGGAGGATAGAATTATGGTCAGATTTTCCAAATGGAGGTCAAGGGAGAGCTTTGTACGCGTCTCTGTGTGTGGAGTAAAGGTGGTCTAGAGTTTTTTTTCCTCTGGTTGCACTTGTGACATGCTGGTAGAAATGAGGTAAAACGGATTTAAGTTTGCTTGCATTAAAGTCCCCGGCCACTAGGAGCGCCGCTTACGGTCCGCCATTGCCAGATCAAGCATAAATTGGCTTTTAGCCACACTCCCCTTCTTCTTGGACTGTGGCATCCCCGCGGCCTCCTCAATGGATTAGTCCACTGAGACATGCTCAAATCAGACAGGAGTCTCGTGTGCCATACGAAAATGCATATATATTTGCCACTGCGCTACAAAAACGATCACAGTCGACCAACAGCCTATCAACTAAACAATCGACCAGTCAACTAAATCTTTCATACAGCACCACCATTTGTATGAACATAGCATTAAGACATACAGTATAATGTCATGAAATCATGGAGCACGTCACTAAATTAAACAAACTGGTGTTCAAATGTTAATTGCAGTTAACATGGCTGGTAATGATGAGGTTAGATTCTGGTTGAGTGGGTTTGCTCCACGGCCCAGGAAGGAGTGTTAAGCAGTGTTTGTGTGTAGAACATGACTGATGCTCAGGGTTTACTGGCCATGCTGGCAGGGTTGCTAAACAACATGCTGTGTATGGTTCTGTTTTAAATTAAACAACCTAGCTCTCCTTACCCAATCTGGCAACCAGGTTTTATGAGTGTGCTGCTGGTGCGATTACATAATTAATGTGACGGCAGTAAAATGTACTCACATTGTTGGGTCGTAGGTATCGGAAAACACTATTTTCAAGCTCAATTCTCAAAAATCATCTTTACAGTGGTAGAAAAAAAGCTAATAACCAAATCACATAAAATAAATTATATCTAAATGGGAACATGACAACATAATGGCTGTCAGCCGGCAAAGCAGGTCAGATCTGGACTAATTCTCACGTCACTGTGAATGTAGAGCCTGAAGTATCTCTACACTTCAGTTACTTTGCCCTTTATGTTTACAGCTCCATCCATGAAGAACCACACATTCCAAATCACATACTCCCTGTTGGGTCAATAGCTAGGTGGCGGAGTGGAACCCTCTGTTAAACACTATTATTGTACACAAAGTGAGTCCATGCAACTTATTATGCGACTTGTTAAGCTAATTTGTACTCCTGAACTTATTTAACAAAGGCTTGCCATAACAAAGGGGATGAATGCATATTGTCAAGACATTTCAGCTTTTCATTTGTAAACATTTCTAAAAACATAATTAGACTTTGACAATATGGGGTATTGTGTATAGGCCAGTTACACAAAATCTAAATGTTATCCATTTTTAATTCAGGCTGTCACACAACAAAATGTGGAAAAAGTCAAAGGGTGTGAATACTTTCTGAAGGCTCTGTATATATATTTTTTACTAAGTCGCTTAAACGAGATACTAAGTCATTCGAACAAGATATTAAGTCGTTCAAACAAGATACATTATTTTTTTTTTCTACAGAATTGTCATAATGCCTAGTGGGTGAGGTAATTACGTTGTGTGAGAGGAGAGGAGAGGAGAGGAGAGGAGAGGAGAGGAGAGGAGAGGAGAGGAGAGGAGAGGAGAGGAGAGGAGAGGAGAGGAGAGGAGAGGAGAAGGAAATGAGGGGGCCATCAGTATCTCAGTAAACATGTTCAATTTCAGGAAAAATGTAGTCAGACACATGGCTTATTAGTGTTTTTTATACCAGCAAGATCTATGTCCAGTTTAGTCTATTAAACATACACTGCCCAGCATGGTATCCACTGCATTAGCACTGCCTGCAGTAGCTGAAAATAGTAGCATTTAATAGTACAAACTATTAAGTCTGAACTTGATTCAACCCACCACAGTAACTTACTTGAAAAGATAAATTGGCACATCACGTAAAACAGGCTTGATGGGTAGAACTAGTTTAAAAAAAAACTCATTTTTGGAAAGAATATATTAATTCAACATCACTGTGAGCCAACAATTTCAGTAAAGCAGCAGTATATTTCAGCAAGGCATTCAGATGTTTAACAGGCTAGCTAGATGGAAACTTAATTCACCTAGATGACTTGATGTTGTGTATTCCACTGACTAATGTGTCTGAAACTGGCACTGGTGTTGTCTAGGGAAGCACAGCTCTCCTATTACTTCTTCTTTGCATGTGAGAGCTGGGATTGAGATGGAGTCAGTATCAAATCCCATTAGTCTAAAAGACATGGCCATCCCCAAGTAAGGGTATCAGTGATCTATCAAGACCCCCATTCAAAAGGCCCCACTTACAGGCACAAGGGACTTATATTTCACATATTGTACATTAAAACTTGCCATGTCGTTTATATGCCCATGAGCAGTTGCACAGCTCGGTTTCACCCTGTTGGAGGATAATGGGTGTTATAATTACACACTGGAAAGATATTCTTACCCTCTTATAGCATGATGCCTGGCAATGAAAGACTTAAGGCCTACCATCTTCTGATGGTTGGGCATGTAAATAACAAATGCTTCAAGGGTTTAGAAATTATAAGTTAGTTTTTGAGAGTGCGAAAGCAGTGCAGGTGTTATACTGAACAAAAATATAAAATGCATACATGTAACAATTTCAAAGATTCTACTGAGTTACAGTTCCTATGAGGAAATCATTCAATTTAAATAAATTCATTAGGCACTAATCTATGGATTTCACATGACTGGGAATACAGATATGCATCTGTCGGTCACAGATACCTTTAAAAAATGGACCTCACAATGGGCAACAGGACCTCATCACGGTATTTTTGTGCATTCAAATTGCCATCAATAAAATGCGATTGTGTTCGTTGTCTGTAGCTTATGCCTGCTCATACCATAATCCCACCGCCATCATGGGGCACTCTGTTTACATTGTTGACATCAGCAAATTCTCTGGCAACAGCTCTGGTGGACATTCCTGCAGTCATCATGCCAATTGCATGCCCTCTCAAAACTTGAGACATCTGTGGCATTGTGCTGTGTGACAAAACTGCACATTTTAGAGTGGCCTTTTATTGTGGCCAGCACAAGGTGAACCTGTGTAATGATCATGCTGTTTAATCAGCTTCTTGATATGCCACTCCTGTCAGGTGGATGGATTATCTTGGCAAAGGAGAAATACTCACTAACAGGGATGTAAACAAATTTGTGCACAAAATTTGAGAGAAATAAGCTGTGTATATTCATCTACATACGTAGTTATGTCGTTTTGAAGAAGTAAGAATCCCATTTGTCTGTCCAGCTGCATAGCTAACTGGGTATGAGGATATGAATGCACATACTAAGACTTTAAAGAGTGTAATAATAGAACTTCCATTTCCAGTAAATGACACAGAGGCCCATGTATTAAAGCCAGTGTACTTGCTGCATAGCTCCCATAATGTCTGTCATTAGACCAGAGAGAGATTTCCTTGGAGGGCTCTTACCCACCATCCCAGCGGGAGTGTGTCTGGGGTCAGGCTTCCTGGCTGGTGGCGACAAGAGAACGTTTATTTGCACTGGGGCCGTGTTCCCACGCATCCAAGACATCTACTTGAAACAGTTACTGAGGAAGTCCCGCAGCATCATCAAGGACCCACACACGAGCTGTTCACTCCCTTACCATCGGACAGACGGTATCGGAGCATGGTCTGCGACAGTTTCTATCTAAAAGCCATCAGACTGCTGAACACTTGAACTGGACTGACCACCTGCACTGACTCTCCGTACCTTAGCACACATGCATGCACACACCCACACACTCATGCTACACACACACATCACAATTTCTGCTACCAGACTCTTATTTACTATTGCTAATACTGCACAATTTAAACACTTGGCCCCCAATCCCTCTTTTTTTAGCAGACGCTCTTATCCAGAGCGACTTACAGTTAGTGAGTGCATACATTTTCTGATAAATATTGTACTATAAATTGTGCCTTTCTGTATTATACTGATGCTAAAATGTTTATTATATTCCACTGAGCCATTTACTTTATGTTAGTATTCTTATATTTTATTATTGTTGTTGTATTGTCGAGAAGGAACCTGCAAGTAAGCCTTTCATTGGATGGTGTATACCATGTGTATCCTGTACATACGACTAATAAGACTAGAAACTTGAACTTGGAACAGGCTGAGCTGAAGACTTATCCCACAGTTAGGCTATTAATTACAGGCTCATCTTTAAATGCTGCATGGGGCCTAATTGATTTCAGGGTGGAGTCTATTAGAGACAGACTCCACTGGCTTAACACAAACACCTCACTCAAGATTACATTCACAGCCCATGAGATCACCCCCCTTGGGATCACTACTAATACCAGAATATATTGGTTTGGCCGGATTGCTATCAGTTCTGCGAGTCCAGATGCTAAGTCAAGTCTGTTTGCACACATGCTGTCGATTCATGTGGTTATATAAGCCACGACAGGTCTGGGATCAGTTGAGCATAGCTTGGAAAGACAATGTCATGTAAAAGTCCAGACAAATTACCATGTAGCTTGGTGTAAATTAAAACAGCAACCCTCAAGCTAAGTGACGCAGCAGACTCTCTACTCTTTCACGATCATTGTTGTGACAAAGTTGTCATGGTAGCTACAGTACATGTTGGCATTCAAGTTTTATAGTATAAGTTATCCCTTTGTTGTTCTCTTTCAGGTGGCGTAGTTGCAGAATATGAGGTTGTTATTGGGCCCACAAGGCCAGTGGATGTTGCTGGAGTCATTCGTGGGGACGACATTTATACTACACAACTGGCAGATGAAGGTAAGAAACTGATCCATTAGTAGATTATCTCCACAGAGCCACTATTGGTGTTGCTGTATTTATATACCATCCTATAGGCTCATCCCATCATTTTTTTTGTCAACAATTAATTAAATACAACTGGACATAGGCCTAAAACCCTAAGAAAGACACCGGATTCAAAACCTAGAATCTTTCAATTTAAATTATTATATACAATTCTTGCTACCAATAGAATGTTATTTATATGGGGGATACTATCTTCCCAGCTCTGCAGATTTTGCTGCGAAGAGACAGAATCATTAGATCATTTGTTTTGGTACTGTCCATTTGCAGCTTGTTTTTGGACACAGGTCCAGGAATGGTAAAGGATTGCAATATTTACCTGGAGCTAACCTTGCAGATAGCATTACTGGGTGATCTGAAAAGTCATAGTCAATCGATCAATAATATAATAATACTTTTAGCAAAAATGTTTGTTTCTATAGATTGTAAATTGAAAATAATGAGAATAGAAAGGTTCAGAACTTTTGTAAAACATCACAGTACAGTTGAAAAATATATGGCAAATAGAAATCCTATATGGATGGTGTTAAGAGATAGATGGGTGGTGTTGAATGGAGTTGAAGGATGGGACTAATAACAACTAATAACAAGATAACTAATAATGTAAGCATACTGTGTCCATAATAAGTATATAGGTTGTAGGTTGGGAGCTTTTGTGAAAGAGCACAGTTAGAAATATATGGCATATACAGTGGGGGAAAAAAGTATTTAGTCAGCCACCAATTGTGCAAGTTCTCCCACTTAAAAAGATGAGAGAGGCCTGTAATTTTCATCATAGGTACACGTCAACTATGACAGACAAAATGAGGAAAAAAAATCCAGAAAATCACATTGTAGGATTTTTAATGAATTTATTTGCAAATTATGGTGGAAAATAAGTATTTGGTCAATAACAAAAGTTTCTCAATACTTTGTTATATACCCTTTGTTGGCAATGACACAGGTCAAACGTTTTCTGTAAGTCTTCACAAGGTTTTCACACACTGTTGCTGGTATTTTGGCCCATTCCTCCATGCAGATCTCCTCTAGAGCAGTGATGTTTTGGGGCTGTCGCTGGGCAACACGGACTTTCAACTCCCTCCAAAGATTTTCTATGGGGTTGAGATCTGGAGACTGGCTAGGCCACTCCAGGACCTTGAAATGCTTCTTACGAAGCCACTCCTTCGTTGCCCGGGCGGTGTGTTTGGGATCATTGTCATGCTGAAAGACCCAGCCACGTTTCATCTTCAATGCCCTTGCTGATGGAAGGAGGTTTTCACTCAAAATCTCACAATACATGGCCCCATTCATTCTTTCCTTTACACGGATCAGTCGTCCTGGTCCCTTTGCAGAAAAACAGCCCCAAAGCATGATGTTTCCACCCCCATGCTTCACAGTAGGTATGGTGTTCTTTGGATGCAACTCAGCATTCTTTGTCCTCCAAACACGACAAGTTGAGTTTTTACCAAAAATATATATTTTGGTTTCATCTGACCATATGACATTCTCCCAATCCTCTTCTGGATCATCCAAATGCACTCTAGCAAACTTCAGACGGGCCTGGACATGTACTGGCTTAAGCAGGGGGACACGTCTGGCACTGCAGGATTTGAGTCCCTGGCGGCGTAGTGTGTTACTGATGGTAGGCTTTGTTACTTTGGTCCCAGCTCTCTGCAGGTCATTCACTAGGTCCCCCCGTGTGGTTCTGGGATTTTTGCTCACCGTTCTTGTCATCATTTAGACCCCACGGGGTGAGATCTTGCGTGGAGCCCCAGATCGAGGGAGATTATCAGTGGTCTTGTATGTCTTCCATTTCCTAATAATTGCTCCCACAGTTGATTTCTTCAAACCAAGCTGCTTACCTATTGCAGATTCAGTCTTCCCAGCCTGGTGCAGGTCTACAATTTTGTTTCTGGTGTCCTTTGACAGCTCTTTGGTCTTGACCATAGTGGAGTTTGGAGTGTGACTGTTTAAGGTTGTGGACAGGTGTCTTTTATACTGATAACAAGTTCAAACAGGTGCCATTAATACAGGTAACGAGTGGAGGACAGAGGAGCCTCTTAGAGAAGAAGTTACAGGTCTGTGAGAGCCAGAAATCCTGCTTGTTTGTAGGTGACCAAATACTTATTTTCCACCATAATTTGCAAATAAATTCATTAAAAATCCTACAATGTGATTTTCTGGAGAAAAAAAATCTCAATTTGTCTTTCATAGTTGACGTGTACCTATGATGAAAATTACAGGCCTCTCTCATATTTTTAAGTGGGAGAACTTGCACAATTGGTGGCTGACTAAATACTTTTTTTCCCCACTGTAGAAGCAAACCGGATGGACATCATGAAAATGAGAGTAGAAGAAGTTCAGGAGAAAAAACAAACAAAATATAATTATTGTAAAATTGACTGTGTCCATAAAATGTATATAGTAAGTATAAGCTGGAAGTAGAGGCCTAAGCATTGTTGTTAACTAGTTTACTCCAATTAGGGAAAGGGTGATGGGGTTGGTAATTAATAAAGGGGAATATATATTTTTTAAAGGATATGTATGTATGTATATATATATATATTACATATTACACACTACTGTTTTTTCTTTTTTCAGAAGCAGATACACCCCATGTCCAGATCATTGTATTCCCCAGTATTTTAGATGACACCACAGACATGAGGGAGGCCACAGGGAAGGCTGGTAAAGCAGCAATCACAGACCCAGACCAGGAGACCCAGGCTCCCCAGCAGTTCCTGACCTCCCAGTCAAGTGACATTGTGCTCATCCCAGAGGTGAGCCTAGAGTGCAGTGACAATACCATCCAAATCACCCAATCCAAGTCCAGAATGAATGATACACACTCTAGTCTAACTGAGGTGGTCTGGTCTCTCTCTACAGGCTGATGTGATGTGTGTTGATAAAGAAGTGGTCCAGGACAGAGATGTAGTGAGTCTGAAACTCAAGGCCTCGTCCAGCTGTGTAAGTACTGTCCACGCCACACGCACGCAAATCTGGCCCTCTGCCCTCCCTAAGTTGTGGCATTGAACGATTCAGCAGACTTTTAGCCCTCCATAACTGGCTACAAGACTATTGCAGCTCTGTGGGTGTAACATGTATTGACAATTTTGATACCTTCTGGAAACAACGCTCGTATTATAAGGAGGATGGGATCCACCCAAATCATTTGGGTTCCTGGATCCTTTCACAGCATTATAAGGCTGCGTTGAGACAATGACTTATCAATGACCCAAATCCAGCTCATTTAATCCCTACCATTGTGTCGCTGAGTTGTCATAATGATTCAGCAAAAGTATATTATCCTAGGGCCGTTGGAAGACCTAATTTATGTCCCTCTTACTGCCTGGAATGCCTCTGCTGATCCTACAGCTATTGTATGCAGTACTCATATGCCTATGAACCAGAGTAATACTGTTAGTACTGAGGTGGTGTGCCCTAGTAGGAAGTCCACTGTGTGCAGCTCACCCTGCATTAATACAAATAACCTGAGTATGTCTACCTCTGCTAAGTTTCCCAGTCAAGCAAGAAAAATTATCAAGCATCCCAGAAAAGTGTTAAAAATAGCCCACGTTAACATATGTAGCTTAAGAAACAAGGTTCATGAAATCAATAATTTGCTAGTAACAGATGACATTCATATTCTGACAATCTCAGAAACTCACTTAGATAATACCTCTGATGATACAGTGGTAGCAATACAAGGTTATAACATTTACAGAAAATACAGAAATGCCAACGGGGGCGGTGTTGTGGTCTATATTCAGAACCACATTTCTGAAAAGCTTAGAGAGGATCTCATGTTAAATACTGTTGAATTAATATGGCTACAGGTTCACCTGCCTCACCTAAAGCTGCTATATACCACCAAGTACTAACAGTCAGTATCTGGATAACATGTATGTGATAAACAGAGAGGTATATTTTCTGGGTGACCTAAATATTGACTGGCTTTTATCAAGCTGCCCACTCAAGAGAAAGCTTCAAACTGTAACTAGTGCCTGCAACCTGGTTCAGGTTATCAATCAACCTACCAGGGTAGTTACAAACAGTACAGGAATGAAATCATCAACATGTATTGATCATATCTTTACCAATGCTGCAGAATTCTTTTTGAAAGCACTATCCAAATCCATTGGATGTAGTGATCACAATATAGTAGCCATATCTAGGGAAACCACAGTTCCAAAAGCTGGGCCTAATATTGTGTATAAGAGGTCATACAATACGTTTTGTAGTGATTCCTATGTTGTTGGTGTGAATAATATTTATTGGTCTGTGGTGTGTAATTACATTTACATTTTAGTCATTTAGCAGACGCTCTTATCCAGAGCGACTTACAGTTAGTGAATACATATTTTTTTATACTGGCCCCCCGTGGGAATCGAACCCACAACCCTGGCATTGCAAATGCCATGATCTATCAACTGAGCTACATCCCTGCCGGCAATTCCCTCCCCTACCCTGGACGATGCTGGGCCAATTGTGCGCCGCCCATGATGGTCGCGGCCGGCTGCGACAGAGCAACCAGACGCTGCACTTGACACATTTATGAAATTGCTTATCCCAGTTACTAATAAGCATGCACCTATTAAGAAAATGACTGTAAAACGGTTAAATCCCTGTGGATTGATGAGAAATTGAAAAATTGTATGGTTGAGAGGGATGAGGCAAAAGAGATGGCAAATAGGTCTGGCTGTACAACCGATTGGCAAACGTACTGCAAATTGGGAAATCATATGACTAAACTGAATAAAAAGAAGAAGAAACTACACTATAAAACAAAGATAAATGACATAAAGAATGATAGTAAAAAGCTTTGGAGCACCTTAAATGAAATTTTGGGCAAAAAGGCAAACTCCGCTCCATCATTCATTGAATCAGATGGCTCATTCATCACAAAACCCACTGATATTGCCAACTACTTTAACGATTTTTCATTGGCAAGATTAGTAAACTTAGGCATGACATGCCAGCAACAAACGCTGACACTACACATCCAAGTATATCTGACCAAATTATGAAAGACAAACATTGTCATTTTGAATTCCGTAAAGTAAGTGTGGAAGAACTTTTTAATAAAGTTTTATTGTCGATCAACAATGGACAAGCCACCGGGGTCTGACAACTTGGATGGAAAATTACTGAGGATAATAGCGGATGATATTGCCACATCTTCAATTTAAGCCTACTAGAAAGTGTGTGCCCTCAGGCCTGGAGGGAAGCAAACGTTATTCCCCTACCTAAGAATAGTAAAGCCCCCTTAACTGGCTCAAATAGCCGACCAATCAGCCTGTTACCAACCCTTAGTAAACTTTGGGAAAAAATGCTATTTTACAGTAAACAAATTGACAACAGACTTTCAGCACGCTTATAGGGAAGGACATTCAACAAGCACAGCACTGACACAAATGATTGGCTGAGGGAAATTGATGATAAAAAGATTGTGGGGGCTGTTTTGTTAGACTTCAGTGCGGCTTTTGACATTATCGATCATAGTCTGCTGCTGGAAAAACTTATGTTTTATGGCTTTACACCCCCTGCTATATTGTGGATAAAGAGTTACCTGTCTAACAGAACACAGAGGGTGTTCTTTAATGGAAGCCTCTCCAACAAAATCCAGGTAGAATCAGGAATTCCCCAGGGCAGCTGTCTAGGCCCCTTACTTTTTTTCAATCTTTACGAACGACATGCCACTGGCTTTGAGTAAAGCCAGTGTGTCTATGTATGCGGATGGCTCAACATTATACACGTCAGCTACCACAGCGACTGAAATGACGGCAACACTTAACAAAGAGGTGCAGTTAGTTTCAAAATGGGTGGCAAGGAATAAGTTAGTGCTAAATATTTCAAAAACTAAAAGCATTGTATTTGGGACAAATCATTTACTAAACGCTAAACCTCAACTAAATCTTGTAATGAATAATATGGAAATTGAGCAAGTTGAGGAGACTAAATTGCTTGTCTTGGAGCAGTGGCTGCTGGGCTAACAGGAATTCTGCCCTGTGCAGGTCGGGCCAAGTAAGGAAAGGGATGTCTGGCATTTCTCAGCTGTGTCTGTCTGCCTGCCATCTGGAGCTCCAGCTCCTCTGAACTCAGTCGAGATTAAATTGTATTAAATGGTTCCCTGGAATAGAGGAGTCTATCCCCCATCAAGAGGCCTGTGTAACAGTATTGAATGGGACCGGGCTCCCCCCTCTCTTTCTCCATCTAGGCTAGCATGGGAAAGCCCCTGCAGCATGGCATGTAATCAGTGACACACTCACTCCTACATCAGGCCCAGGCTAAGCTTTATGACTTGATTGGCTTCATCTGGGTTAGACACCACATTCCTTTTGAAGTGGGGGATCTTTAATGACAGATCCATGTATGTTTCCTATCATATGAGGATAATATTTAGATTGGTATATAAAAAATAAAAAATAAATCAATTACAAACAAATTACTGATGAATACTGATACAGTTATGAGGTAAACTGTTAGCTGTACATTACACAATATAGCTGCATCAGGGGCTGGAGGCAAAACATGTTTTACCTTGTGCTAACAGTAACTACTCAAACGTCTAATAGAACATTTCTGAATGATAACATAAAGTAGGCTATCAAATACATAATGTCATCCAGTGACCCCTTACCCCTCAATTCTAACCCCTTACAGAGAGTACTTGAAAAGAGAAGTGAATAAAACTGTTTTCAATATAAAGATTATAGTTCATGTGCTGTACATGCATTATATTCTACATGCTCTGAGTGCCGTAGCAGATGAGACCTTGAGAGCGGTCCGGTTTCCTTGGCACAGAGCCCGTGAGCTTTGTAATGAGACCAGCTGTCCGCTCTAGGGCTGGGATCAAGAGTTTGAGCAGAGCTGTCTGTGGGGGCTGGTGGCTCTATTTGGATCATGTTACATAGGGTGGAGTATAATTGCACAATGTTTTGGTTTCATTTATTGGGTTATGAGAGAGGAAGAAAGGGGGAGATATGGGATGGGGTAGGGCCCTTTCAGGGTGTACATTTCTAAAGAGCCATAGTTGTGAATGTGTATGCACAAGAATGTACTGTATGTGAGCACATTTCGGGATGACAATTAATACTTACCTAAATGACAAGGACTAACCAGAGGTTCTGTAGCCCCAAGTGCAAACACTGTTTATTAATCCAACTGGTCTTTCCACAGGAAGAGACCAGGTCTAAAATTGAGAGTGTTCTGGAGCACCTGTGTGGGGTCGACTGTAAACTGGAGGTCTTCCAGGAGGACAACTCTAATGAAATCCTGATCTCTGGCCAATACATAGAAGGTTGGTCTCCTCCTCTGCTTGTTAATGATGTGGGATGACTTTGATAGTCTGTTGTTGAAAAAACATTAACCAAATCATATTGTTCCTTCTCACAGCTGATGCTAAAGGAATGGCAGATAAGTTCAACAATGACAATATAAAAGACAAGGTAGAGTATCACTTCTCTCTATTTCTAATTAAATACCAGTAAAACAACAGAGTATTCCAATTCCCCATATGAAGTTCACATAATTCTCACCACATACACTTCATGCCTGAGTCATGAGAAAGACATTATGTTCAGTGGCCACTGCAGTCCCACCTACAATAAAGGGCTTTAATTTGTGCACAGTGGTAAGTGAGGAAAAGTCACAGTGCTGATTTGGCTCCTGATCTAACCACAGTGAAATAAACAAGGAGACACGCTTCCACCACAGACAGGATTCCTCACTCACGGCTCCAAGCTGCCTGGAAGATGCTGCATGACAAACAGAATTTTAAAAAATCAGATGGAATTAATTTTTGTTCCCAGTGGGAATGAGGAATGGGTGTTTCCTTCTCATGCTCCAACTAAGTTGTCCCTTTGACATTAGACACACTCTGTGATCCATCCCTACACCCGTCCTTACAACCCCTTGCCACATTAAACAGTTAAGTGAGCTGCACCCAGCCACATTTTTCTCATTATGTTGGTCAGTCAGTTCAATGGCACCTTTGTGTTCAGACTTTGCTGTGGAGGGTTGGGAGATTATGCCCTTTCTCCACTCAGTCAGTTATCTCTATACTGTATAGCCTTACTATAGCCCTGGGTACATAAAGCCTATAGTCATCCTCTGCAGCAGGGATGGGCAACTTTGATGGGGGCCACAAAAAAACAGAACTCATCATGTACAGTACCAGTCAAAAGTTTGGACAAACCTACTCATTCCAGGGCCTTTCTTTATTTTTACTATTTTCTACATTGTAGAATAATAGTGAAGATATCAAAACTATGAAATAACACATATTGAATCATGTAGTAACCAAATAAGTGTTAAATAAATCATAATATATATTATATTTGAGATTCTTCAAATAGCCACCCTTTGCCTTGATGACAGCTTTGCACACTCTTGACATTCTCTTTTTTCACCCACCCCCTTACATTTATTCATGAAAACCCTGAATTCCTGATATTAACGTGTATAACGCTCCTCGTCTCTCCAGATTGATTTTGAGGAGGCTGTTCCTCGCTGGGGGAAGAACTCCAAGCTGGTGCTAGTCTCCCTGCTGCTCACTGGACTGCTCCTGGCTATTCTGCTCATTGCAGGTTACTACCTGAAAGCCCACCGCCCACCACCCAAGGGAGCGAGACTGGTGAGTGGTCATGACGTGAGAGAGACTCATGGAAAACTAATACTGTGTAAAGGACCCAGTTCATTGGGAAGATTGGGTGGTTGATGCACCTCTTGCTTGTTTATTTAAAATGTTATGACTGTATTTGAGGTAAGGCTTGTGGTTATCCTTTGGTTGCTTCCTCACTCAAACCCACATTCACATAAATAGCTCTAAGTCTTCTCTGCTGTTTCTTTTTCATCCTCATGCCAGGTGGCCACAGATATTACATTTTTTTCTCCTACAAAAGCCTCATGAGATTGTCTGAAATAGCTTTCATACGGGCCACACCCATATGCTGGTTTAGAGAGAAGTATGTGGAACTGCCTTCCTTTGGTGTCTTGTTTTCACAGTCAATCGTCATAGGCATCGTATAAACTAACCTCAGTCTCCTCATCTGATTGACACAAACAATCCTAACCTCAGCCCAGACTCCCTGTCTCCACCATACATGTTTGAATTACATCATAGAGAGAGCGATTGTGTTTTAATCCTCTCATCATCAGGCTTTACCTTCAACTTCACATTCCCTTCAGTACAAACACTGAGGTGTATACATACACATAGCTGACAGGTCATATGAAAATAACTAATTTAATTCATTGCTTTTCTGAACAACACATAAAACATGTCCTAAATTCCATACTCAGTGCAAACTGTATGTGATGTGCCGTTGTTTGTTATTCCTTCAGTTGAATCTGTACTGTTATCACACTATTTCAGTAGTAAGTCCAAGCTCTATACCTCTAACACTTATGACCCAGCCCAGCCTGCCATCAGTGTTCCTTTAATTTAATCTATATGGTGCCTGCAGGCTGAAGAGGGTTTCCAGGTGGATGAGGAGAACCAGGCCAACACCCTGGTGTCTGTTGCCCCTCTGCAGCCCCAGGAGCCCTTGGACAAGCCCACCAGCAACGGGGAGTCTCCTGAGAGCCAGCCGCCCCCCACCAACGGCCACTCCGCCACCCAGACCTCCGTTGCCGACACCGAGATGTGAACAAGCTCTGAATGACACCCCCACCGCCCCATTCCCATTCCTCCATCACCACATTCCCAATCCCTCTCCCTCTCAGAGTGTACCTGGGGACACCGCACTCTGACACTGACACACATTCAACATCCAACCCCACCCCACCCTACCTGATCCAACCCTTGACCCCCAGGATGATGACAATGAGGAAACTGATTACTATGACGATGATGACGATGTCTGTAATGTGAAGAAGAGATTGTGATCACTGGCCTCTATTAGGTTTCAGTAGTGGCAGAAAAGGAGCCTAAACGCTGAGTTTGGGGGACTGGACAGCTGGGTCACAGACTGCAGTCCAGAAACAATAAATCGCTGCAAAAAAAAGGACAACAAATCACCGAAATTGACCGTTTGTGTTGCTGTTTCCAAATTCAAGTATGAAGCAAAGTATATGCTATATCTTAAACACTAGCAGATCTGAAATGGACTCATTTGAACCAAAGGGTCATCGTAGTTTAAAGTATTGATTGCTTGGTTCATTTGTTTGTATGATCTTATGTGATTGTTTGCTTGACTCGCCTGTTCGAGGTAAGAAGTAAAATCTGGGTAAAAGAAGTGGAGAAAGAGTGATTCAATCAATGGAGATTATTTAAACTATTGAAGAGATTTGAATAGGCAGCTTTTAAATAAGTATCAATATGATTGGCTAGTGCAGAGATCAGAGTTTAATCCTGTTGCCTTTTATCAAGGCCTGTCATAAGTTGTGTGAGGGGTTGCCGTATATTTGTTTCAGAATTATGTACAGTAGGCCTAGTGTGTCACTATTTCCATCAAGACATACTTTCTATTGTACTGTTTTTTTTAAACATGTTTTTTTCTGTTCTGACTTACCACTGTGTCTTTGAGAATGTTGAACCAGGTAGACTCATTTTATCATTCAGGAAAACAGACAGACATACGTTTTGTGTGGTGAATTCGATGAATAATATTAGTCTCTCTTATGGTGCACTGTCGTTAGATTTCTACACAACCCCTAATAACATATTCAACATTCCAAATACACTTTTTATGCCCTCAATAAATCAGTTCATCATGAAACATACAGTATGTTACATGGATGAAAGTAAACCTATATTTTAGCTATTGTTTTTTTAATGACTGATTGTTTTCATACAATACTGCATGTGTACATATGCCAATTTTCTCTGTTTGTAATATCTGTGTGCCCCATAAATTGTGAGTCAATGTTGCTACTGTTTCTTTGTCTTTCTGACCACGTCACACTAGCCTGACCATGTCACAAACATGGCACACACACAAACTTGCATCTCTTTATAGACCCCATATTAGGGAAAGTGAAGGCATTATTCCAATGGGGTTCTTATGATTCCTCCAGCTGTTTTGGGCCTCTGATCTTTTATTAAATCTTTATAAACCAAATGTTTAACATGTACAGTATTGACTAGCATTGCCAGATGAACTTACCCACAGATGGACATTGAATTATCTGAGTGTGTATGCTAATCATGTATATTTCTAGCAATACCATTCTAGACATCATGATCATATGACAGCCACAAATGTTTGTTTATGGTCATAGAGATGATGTGTGTTAATTGTTGCTGCAGAGTCCATACAGAAATAGATCTACCCTATTCTATGGGGAACAGACCAGCATCTGAGATACAGGGATAGCATGAGAGTTAGTGGGACTGCCCTCATACAGGTGTAGGATCTTAATTTGATCACCCTGTTGCAGGAGAACTTTCAAACTTGTAGTATATTTGAGGTTTAAAAAGGCTTCTGAAGTTTGTAATTTCCACTTTGAAATTTCAGACTTGATTTTCCCTTATGAAAAATGTATCATCCCCTACACAAATGTCCATTAATTATAATCCACATTTCCTGATGCTGCAGGATTATTTTCCTGCTGTAGCAAACTGGTTTAAATTAAGATCCTACATCTGTACTATAAAAGTAGTTACATCAGGCTTTAAGTAGATCCCTACGGTCCAGTGAACAACTATGGGTGTTAATATTTAAATCACCAGGGAGGTGTATGCAGAGCAACCCCTGCACAATGTGTACTGTACAGAATACATCGGAAGTATTCTGCACTTATGCATCCTTATTTAGACGTGAAACCCATCCCTGGTGTGCGTGGCCAAAGAGCTCCATTTTATTAATGTCATCTGACCATAGCACCAGTTCAAATCCAAGTGCCAATGCCGTTTAGCAAACTCCAGGCGGTGCCATGGTCAGATGACATGAAAATAGAGCTCTTTGGCCACAAACACCAGTGGTGGGTTTCAAATAAAAAAACTGAAGCATATGCAGAAAAGTACCTCATACCTATTGTAAAATATGGTGGTGGATCTTTGATGTTATGGGGCTATTTTGCTTACACTGGTTCTGGGGCCCTTGTTAAGGTCAATGGCATCATGAACTTTACAAAATACCAGGACAATTCAGCCAAAAACCTGGTTGCCTCTGCCAGGAGTCTGAAACTTGGCCGCAAGTGGATCTTCCAGCAAGACAATAACCCCAAGCGCACATCAAAATACACAAATAAATGGTAAATGTAAAGGAATCTGCCACATGTATTTACTACGTCATACTTTATAAAGTGGTAGAATAATAGTTGTACTGATTACATTCGGTGAGGGCTTTAGTACCTGTTCTGGCTTTATAGAGGATTAATGACCGATGTGCTGTCAATGTGATCTCTTTTGGTGACGTGTGCTGTGTAGCTCAGTTGGTAGAGCATGGCACTTGCAACGCCAGGGTTGTGGGTTCGATTCCCACGGGGGGCCAGTATGAAAAAAAAGTATGAAACATTTATGCACTCACTAACTGTTAGTCTCTCTGGCTAAGAGCGTCTGCTAAATGACTAAAATGTGTAAAAATGTAAATCGACCACAGAATCGAACATTTTCAATGGCCATCTCAGTCTCCGGACTTGAACCCCATTGAAAACCTGTGATTTGAATTGAAGAGGGCAGTCCATTAGCGCAGACAAATGATATCAAACTCCCCATATAAAGAAAAACAACCCCTGGAATATACTTCATGTCATACAAACCATGTGATATTGCATAACTCTATACTGCTTAAACAAAAGCTTTGCCGTTCTATGTTGTTTGAACTTTTCCGTCCAGTGATTAGTCTGAGTTTGGCAATGTACCACTATCTAGGAAGTCAATTTATCTCAAAGGAAAATCAGAGATTGGTCTAACTAAATCTAATTGATCAAACTATGATTAATTAGGGAGCGGTCTGCTGTGGGTCTACCCCCATCCCATGTCTGTGACGAATCAAATTTGTTTTTTTACAGCTCAAACGGATTACTTCAAATTCATATCACGGATTTAAAAAAAATTCAGATGCAACAATTAGTGTAGGCCTATTGGGTAGCTCTTCAAGATAAATTGTTTTTATCTAGTTGTACCCCACCATTATGTAGGTGCAGTACAGACATGCATTGTCTGAATATTACTTACCAAAATTTATAATTTATGGATCTCTATAGGGCAAAATGTGTCTCCATCATTGGTTAACGTTAGTACAAAAGATACAACCAATCAAAATAAGGAGTTGAAAATAATCTCTGATTATAAAGCCCGTAGTGTAACTGTTTAGCTAGAAACAGCAAATAATGGGATGTAAAACATGGCGGCACCGATCTGCTTAATTGATATCAATGGCGTAGAACCATGACTTCTCAATCTCCTGGGCCACATGTGCAGAATTTCTCAATCTCCTGGGCCACATGTGCAGACATGAAGAGAGGAGCAGACAAAGCAGACTCCTTCAACCAATCAGGTCTATCCCAGTACACCCATTTCTGCTGACCCTGAAGTTCATTTTATGGGTACTGGGTAAGAGATAACATTTTGAATCCATTATCTCAGAGACTCATGCATAAAATACTATAAGGTAAGGAGCAATGGGCAAAAACTGTTTTCTCACCATCCCCCATTCTCAAAAAACACAAGAGTAAAACCCTGTACCCCCTCCCTTCCTACCTCAATGACTCAGGGTGGAGGGTCCCCCCTCTCCCCTTCCATTAGGGCAGGGTTTCCCAAACTGGGGTGCACATTTTGGTTTTTGCCCTAGCACTACACAGCTGATTCAAATAATCAACTAATCAAGCTTTGATCATTTGAATGAGCTTTGTAGTGTTAGGGCAAAAACAAAAACATGCACCCCTTGGGGTCCCGAGGACCGAGTTTGGGAAACGCTGCATTAGGGTGACCCCCCCTCTCTCAGGACCCCCCAGGCTCTCAGTCATTACAGTCAACAGCATGTAAAATATGATATAGGCACTGCTAGAAAAGTAACACATTCCTTTGACATACACTTTCAATCCTAATACATCAACACGCATCCTCCTACAACCACTGATATATTGCACATATGATAGTACTTGTCTAAGACCTTCTCATTCCACTAATCTGCATAATGGAAAAAAGTTAACTAAAGGCCATGCCATGCCAGTACTCATACCCATTTATTTTTTTTGAAAATGTTTTTTCAATCAGTGCTGAAATTATGAATGTATGAATGTCTATTGATTTTAATTTGTTGTAAAAATGCACAGGCATAGAGATGCAAAGAGCACACAAAGCCAGACAAAACCCTTCGATTAGAAAATGAGATACGATAAGGAGCCTGTTACTTCTTATGGCTGTTCAAATCAAACTACGCAGCAAAGTAATGGCAACTGGTGTAGGCCAGTGTCTACTCTGTATAATATTGCCCTCTGCTGTATTGAAGAAGGCATTACAATAACAGTTTAGGAACACTGAGGGAGCTGGATTAGACTGAACCGGGGTGAACTGAGCTAACACCCGGCACGTCACCGGGCAAAAGCGGCGAGGGAGGAGCGCCCGGCTCAAATCGAGAATCACCAGGCCATAATGACAACAAAACAGCATGATGAATCTTTGAGAAACATAAAACATGTATTTTCCATTAAATTAATATTAACATTTTCAAAGTAGTTTTCCTTGGAAAGGCAGGTAATGCGTTTTTATCATAAACACTTTTGCATGTGAAAATACTGAATCAAACTCATTACTCCAAATGCTTGACATACACTTTTGTTTTCCGCCGACTTCGACGTCGGCTTTCAAAAGGGCACCCGGCTCACTCCCGGGAGGCAGCCCGGTTTCAAAACGAATGCAATCAGTTTTAACCCTATCAAACTC